GTCGGCAAAAGCAGCCTCGTTGGGTACACTCACTTGAAACAGGTATTAGGGGGAGGTAACCTATGGGTTCAGATGCGCTTGCAACTCTGTCTTCTTGTTGGGTTATTTACATATCACTGTTTTGATTGAACCAATCACACGTACTCTATCAATTATTATCCATATGATGTATATTCATATACATATATACTATAACGTCTTGATGAAGATAATAAACATCAAATAAAGCTGATGAGGCTCTTTAAGGTCGGAAAAAACATGCTTTCTGTGTAATTTGAATGAATGTAAAATAACCCATCTAGAAGTTTCCGTTTAGCTCAACAGGAATATTCTAAGATTTGTAAAATTGGTTCCGAAACTTTATTCAAGCTCGAAATTTCCAAACAATAACCGTTTCATAATTTCCATATGAAATGGAATCGACAATCCACTCATGTTCATGTCGTTGGAAATTCTCTGCAAAGAATGGAGAAATTGATTATGCATTCAACTTATATAAAGGTTTCATCAGGGAAGATATGCATGGACATACATATATCCCCAGTAAACGTTAATGATGCATATAACAAGTATTCCTCTAGAAGATAACTTACAAAATCTGAAGTGTTAATTACATTATTATATTTTGGAAATCACAGCTATGAAGAGATTAAAAAAAAAGATATATTGTGTACATCCGGATAAATTTCATACGATGTATAAAACTCAAAGCCGTCAGATAATTGTGTTAGATGATATAATATATCATGCTACAAGACATTTCTGGTGGGCTTTCCCATATATCTACTGTTAAACAGTAAATGTGTTCCTCTTAACTCAACCACATGTTCCTGAAAGTGAAAAAGATAAATATGAAGATCATATACAGTGTTGGAAGTTTAAAGACGACTAATACAAATGGAATTTACATAGCGGACATGACGTCACTTATCTACGATATCGAGGTCAAGAGGTCATGACATGGGAGCGCCGTCAGTGACGGTGTGTGGAGATGATATGTGTACCTTTGTGAAAAATAGGTAAAAAGCAGTTAGGCCTCATTGGTGAAATGCATGACTAACATAAAAGAAAATTCACGCTCGTTATGGTGGGACATAGTCATCTATAATAAGGATTCAAAACATTAGGCGTTACTAATATGAAATAGCCAGATACAAATAATGTTCGTTAGTTCAATATGATACTTAACATGACCAGATTTACGTACATACCTACTGTGTATTTTGATACGTAGTTTATATGTGGCATTCAACGTGATCGCTGTGCTGTAGTTACCGGCATACAGAATACGATAAAGTCATCATTTTTACACTATCAACACAATCAATCTTGCCCGCTCGTCCAGAACTCTCACATCCACGGTATATGGTACACAACATTGGACGGCGCTCACACAGGCTGATCTTAGACATCTTAATAGCATATCGCTTCATCACTACTTTAAAAAGATGTCGAGCGTCGAGAGCATATGAATTTTTTTTCGAGAGAGATTTTTGATGGAAAGTCGGCAGAAACGTTTATACCGACATTCCAGATAACATAAGCCTTATAGATAAACATTAATTTTCTCTTTCTTCTTGGATTAATTATTCATCTTGGTATTTATATAAAATAGAAAGCACTGGATTGTGCCGAAAATGTTGTGGGTAATGCGAAGTCTAAGATGTGTGATTATCGCCGGTAAGTAGAAATGCAAGAATCAGTGGTAATACCTGTAAAAGATAACAAGCTTGCCAAAATGAACAGTCTCACTGATTCCGTTTATAGTATCCAAAATCGTCCGGAACAATATCTGCACGTCCTGTTAACGCCCTGGTGCCAAGACGAACAGAAATCACAAACTCCAGTACATCTCCGACATGCGGATTACTTTGGAATTAGTCTTTGATCTAAACCAGACGATGTTTTCCACGGTGGCAATGAGTTCGCTTGCTTATAACAGTTTTGCCCCCATTTTTTCTTGAAAGAAAAATCCTGTTGATCAGCTTAATTCGTTATACATCTAATATATTCTTATTTTTGCACCTAAAGTGTGGTTTAGTTCTCTCGGAATTTTCTCTTTTATCAAATGGTATAATAAATACAGAGAACCCCTATTAGTGTATATGCTAAGAGCAAAACCAAAAATATATAAGTCAAAGGGTCAAAGCTACTCTAGTGATATTTCATGACCAAGCAGATATTGATCATTAATATGTTGTAGAAAGCAATGTAAAACATAAATAATGATAAAGCACAGACAATCAAACTACCTACGAAGGGAAACATTCGTGAATGTTTCATATAAAATTTAACAAACAAATGAGAGATGCGTTGCGCTGAGGCTATCTTTCTGCAAATATAACGCACATTTTTTACTCATACCTCATTGAAATCCTACTGACATCTAGCCCTTTGACATAATTTGGCACCAAAATTAAATCGTCAATAAACTATATTGTTTTTACCCCACATGACCTCCGTAAAAGTCGCCCATACACCTTTTATGGATCTCGTTTAGTGTCTCACACACAATGTGAAAATCGTCAAAGGATCATGTCGGACATTTCAGGTTATCTACAGATGTCGTGCAACCGTTAAATAGAATGCTGTTCATGTGGAAACAGTCAATTCCACTGAATCTAATGTTGAAACCAGTCAATTCCACAACAGCTCATGTTGAAACCAGTCAATTCCACTGAATCTCATGGGGACCAGTCAATTCAATCATAACTAATATCGAACCAGTACGTCCACAATATATTAAATTGAACACGTCATTGCATCCACATATAATAGCTAAATATTATTTTTACCTCACCTCACGTGCATGTGTTACCTTAAGATCACCAATACAAGTGGTTTGTTAGCCTATGTTTTGGTCCTTGCCTTTTATACAAATAATTTATCTATATCAAAGTTTTGCTTTATACACAATTAATTAAAAGTGTCGCACCGTTTCAAGACCAACTGGTTACTTTGTCAAGCTAGCATTAAGCTTGACAAAGGGACCAGTCGGTCTTGAAACGTTGCGACACGTTTAATACGTACATTTTTTGTGCATAAAGTAAAACATTGATATTTCATATTTCAAAACTGATGAATCGTATTGCTGAAGAAACATAATTTAGCCATATGATGACAAGATCGAAACAGTAAATCATTCATAAACCAAAGTATACAAAATATTTAAACATCAGCACAGGTCTCATATTTGTAACGATATTAAAACATACTGCATTGACCAGGATAGCACACGAGATTTGATTCTACTTAAACACACAAATACAACCTGGACTTAATATCCATTGCCGCTATGCACTGTAAGTTACTCTGTTAAATTATACATCTGAGAGGAAATAGTCATTTATCTGAGTTCTAATCTATGTATAAACATCATTAAATTGGATATTGAATTATTCTGATATACACTTACACAGATATATCATTCCCTCAATTGCTCATTGGAGCAATGCAAACGTATAGTGTACATTTTGTATCAACTTGTCTGTGACACCAAGACGTGAATCTGTCATATTGAACATCTTTTATTTATGGATAATGTACAAGAAATTCTTAGTATATTTACATACGAAAATGATGTACTCACCGTGGTCCCGGGATATCGCACTTACTATAAACAATCCATATATATGTTCGCTTAAAGAATGCAGCGTGTTATTTGCATAAAATCACATTAAAATTAGTAAAATCAAATCGTGATGTGCGTAACGCACTGTTATATATATTTCTGAATGACACATACACAATTATAGCGTATATTGGATAATTATCGAATATATGCAAATGATTATACAGCTGAAAATGTAATTAACATTTCTAAGTAATGAGGTAGAGAGAGACTCGGCTTTAAACGACTCTGTATGACTTGTGCACTGTGTATACATGTGTGACACTTAGCCAACGTACAATATAAACATGTTATTGCATTTGGTTTAACATGGTGGCGATGAAGACGGGAATTCTCCTGCTCACTTCGTCAGTACAAGGACGGTATTTAATAATTCCAAATCTGTTAGCCATTCTATTTCCGGATCGACACACCGAGTTGGGTGGAATTTAGACGCTGACATAAACATTAGTGGATCAACGACAAACCACGCGGAGGAATTAATAAACGCGATGGCAATCTCTAAAAGTTACATTCATGGGGGTGTAATATTAAAACTGGTAAATTAAAACATTACCACCGGGTCTGAAAAATAATCTCCTTGTCAAGGAAAGCTTAGAAGTGACACCTTATGTTCATACTACAGAACGTATGTGATCCTTTTCCTTGTCACATGTCTTTTTGTCATAAGTAAAAAATTAAAAGCGTGAGAATACTATAGAAATGTACCAGGAAACCACTGACTTATAAATAACGTAGAATGTCCCCACTGTGTAAGATCGTGTTTTCAATTAAAATTTAATTCAAGTGAACAAGATTTAAGTAATATACAGGATAATATATTTATACATTGTAACAAACTACAATTCTCTAAACATCGTTATTAAATTATGTAATTGGTTTACCTTTCATGTTGTAATAATTGATAACACTAAACCAAAGGAAACGTCGGGGTCAAACGTTAAACAAACACGTTATATGTCAATCTATGGAAATATAGGTTTAATAATCTCTTTTATGCGCTTCCCTTACTGTTTTAGGAGTATTTTAGACCAATTTGTCCCTGCCATCATCGATGAGTTCTGTAAGGACTGAACCGCTGTAAAGTGCCGTGGAGCTTATTTTGGCATACTGTATGTATTATAAAAATGTATATGTGTAATCACATGAACGTTCAAGGTGGCAAACATTGCCGGCGAATGTCTAAGTCCCTGCGGTTGGCCGTAGCCTTAAAGTATCTCTTATGAGTGGTGGCATGGTTATATAGTAATATGCACACTTTTAAAATTATCAATGAACAACTACACCTTTCGGACACTTGCAATTCATAGGTAATTTATTATCAACGTTATCTATTTAAAAAGCTTTTAGATGTATATGTGTATCTTACGTTAAGTTTCCAAGGTGTGTCGGGTTTAGGATAGAGATGTATGGCCTTTGAAGTTGTATTTGACAGCATTTCTGGAATCCTTCAGATTGATAACGTCACATGTAGTTATCTATAACAGATAGAGTTAATTAGCTATACGATTGCATATATATTTCATTTGATAATTCATAAACAGTATTTTGATACTCAATAGTAAACCGAAATCAATGGTAACTGATGCGCACCACTTGTATATTTCAAACACCAACGTAAACTAAACACTCGTCTATCACAGGTAGTGTAATACCTATATAACACGTCAACACTTCACCTTAAACGGTGTTTACTGACAATGTTAAATCCATAATTTCATTTAAAACAAAGCAAAGCACCCACAATAATAATAATGAAATAGTTGATGGTGCTAGCCTGGAGATAATGTCGTAAACAAGGAGAGCAAATCCAAACGTTCCACAGCAATGGTATGGATGATCGTCAAACTGAAGAGCAGAAAATCACATTTGCTTGGTCTGACAATGTGTCTTTGATGTTGCTTTCGGCGATCACGTGGGTGGTCAACAAAGTCCTCCTCTGACAGGCGAGGTTGACATTTGGGGTGCTTGCTAGTTACCCGCAGGTACCTACCCTCACTCACCCCGCGTTCATCAGTCATAATTGATCAACTAGGACGCTGATATTCCGCTTACCTGTCCTCATTTGGAAATAAACGTCGTACTGAAAGAATCACTCTGCAAAAATGAAAGAGAAATTTGCCTATAGCTGACAAAGGAACGTGTTAATAATAGAGCTGATTGTTGGCCCAAATCATTGCAAATAACAATTGATTGATTGAAATAGGAAATACATTTCTAAAATCTATGGTATATGGATATTTTATTCCATTATCTAATTATTTCAGACAAGAAAGTAAGCTGTTATTTTTACACATCATTATTGAGAAACTGCACAGTTTTTTTATACCGAAATCCGATAACACTACAAGTAAAACTTGATCAAATCAACCTGTTCCTTCTCTGTATTATCCACAGGCAGATCAATATAAAGTATGTTATTGAATGCACAAAATGAATATATGTATGCATTGTCCTCAAATAACATAATGAATTAATGCATAAAACAGCTGCAAGCGAATCTTATATGTTGTTAAATTGGCATTTAAGTTTAACTGTTTTGTGTTATGTGTATTATTGTAAAGGAGTCATGACCTAATTAGAAGACAGAATGTCATTGTTTTGAGCGAGGGCATCGCATGATTGGCAGTGATATAGACGTTAGTGGGCGGTGCCGATTGGAGCCAATTGTTGACAAGATATCCAGGTCCCTTTGTCTACACACACATGTATGGTCACGATGTGTGACTACCACTAAATTGAACATTTGTGACTGAGGAGTGGGAACGTCTCCACCTGGCTGACTGTTCTTTTTATCGTATTCTAACTAGGTACAATACCATCATGGAGTAAAATGTATTGCTACACTGAAAATTATATTGCAAGTATATGTGTGAACCATAAATATTAAGTTCCTACCTTAAGCTGTGTGTCAAAATATATCTATTTCTGTGTATGGTCTGTTAGCATGGTGTTGACTCCATATTTACTCCCTGTTCATTTCTATTGATATTTGTTATATGTTCGTTCATAAGCCCATATCTCTTAATAGCACGTAAAACACAAGCAAACCAAATCATAGAATATTATGGAAAGTATTGCTATAATAGCGAAGAATACACGTTCAAAAAAATATTTCTATTTATTTTTTGTTATTTCCCTTGAAATTGTTTTGAAGTTTCAATTTATCAAGAAACAATTTATGCTATGAACCCAGAGGTCAAAGAATACAATGTCAGCTTCATTCATAGATATATTACATTGTTGACTCATTGATCTACCCTTGATATCCATTGAAGCTTAGCGACATATTCACAATAGAAAACATTCCTATTATGTGTAGTCAGTTGCTTAATATAATTATACATACATATTTATATATTTATAGAATAACTCGTTAAGCATGTTATCGAATCCACATTCTGTCTGCATGATACTTAAAACATTACACAGAAAAAGAATTTGAAGAATCTATTCAAAAATAGGGTTAAATCATTCATCATGTATTTCCCTTCTTATCTATTGCCCTAAAGCTACACTTTCTTGCCAGAGAAGAATTCTATTTTATCATGCCGATACAACTCTATTTTTTTATGATAAAGCATAGAACGACCTGACTTAAAAGCTTATACAAACGTAACGATATATAGGCGTCCATGTATATTTCATCAGTTAGATTAGGCATCTATTGATTTATGACAAATATTTAAATTTTGATGAGAAACTAAACAAAAGTATCAATCATTACAATAAATAATACATTTAATTGTTTAAAACGTTAATGAATGTCATTTGTGCACAATTTGTAATAAAACGCTATTTGCTTTTAGGACAGATTGTTTTCAAGGACAGTCAACGGCGTCTATTTCAGTTTGGTCGGTCTGACTCATTCATATCTATGTTCTATCTGAAATTATTTTTATGCTGATTAAAATGCCCAATCCTATTTTGGATTCTCGCGAGTGCTCATAAAACGTATCTCGTAAAGTAAATGTTATAAATATGTAACTTACCGGTGCTTATCATTCTATTATATACTTTTATAGATAAACCAGTATTTCAATCATTGTGTAGGAGTAGTATTGAATATTTATGCATAACATGAGAAATGGTATTATTAATTTATATAAATGTCATATAAAAACTGTAATGTATTGAAATATAATTGATCTGTTTATATTTCTTCAAGAAACAAAACGATGGAATTTCCAACAGTGTGATGTCTAATAATTGCAGTTCTGTGAAATAACTTTATATACTGTTGATAGAAACGATCGGTGTATTCCATTGTATATTGAGTAACCGTGAATCAGAAATTAATAGTTTAATTAAAAATTGTTTGTATATTCTCTCGTTCGTGCAGTAATGCATTGTACTGATAATTATAACATTAAGATTATATGTTACAAAAACATGTTATATGTTTAATAGCGATTGTTCTTTCAACAAAATACAGTATCATTCTCTTAAGACAACGTCAAAATGTATTTGTATTTTCATTACAAACATGTGTTATTTTGTGAAAGGAAACATGTCCATATAAATTTGATATTAGAAACCGGTGAATATCATTTAGATGTTGATCGGTTTAAATAAGGAGACTGAAAAATATTTTTGACGATTAAAGAATATTGAGCCAGCTTGAATGGTATTTATGATTCATAAATCTTCCAATGTACAATAATAACAAAACATTCATTTTACAGATTTCTTTTTTTATAAAACAGGAAGGCTACATTAATGTAAGTTTAATGTTTATGTATACGTATATACATTATGTCAGTCTGATTAGGTACGACACTCCCAAAACCACACAGACATAACAGTTCCTAAACAGTCGTTGTGTTCAATTCAAATGGTATAATGTACCTACCTTGAAAGTAATTATGTGGTCTGCCTAATAGTGGCCACTGTACAATGTGTCTGTGCAAACCAACAACTACATTTCTGTCTTAAAATGATGCAATATCTTGGATTGGCATATATTATTGAAGAACCGTTAAGCGAACAAGACTCCACATCGGAGATAGTTGACTTGACGTCACTTCCAGGTCAGATTCTCACCTCTGATGTCATAAGTAGCATGTTCAATGAAGTGGCGAATGAGCCGAGTATATGTGATGTCTCTATGCATAGCTGAACAGGTAAACAAGCCACGAACACCTGTGTTCTGTGTAATTGTAATGTCTGAGTAAGCTACCAAGGGAGTCTTTGTTTATTTATAAATTATTCAGTAAAGTGACTTTTGTTTTATGTGCAAAATTAGTTTATGCTAACAGCTTACTTTACTGACTCGTCGCACTGGCTAAGTTGGGTGTTTTGAGCGGTAAAGAGTCAAGACACCGGTCATTTGACAACTCGAACAGACGTTTTCGAAAGCTCGGAAATAAGTTTCATTGTAAAATATATAAAATCTATTTTTAAAAAAATATATTGGATAGTACTTATATGGGCTTGCCTTTTGTCCAATCCATTTGTCATTGAACAGTACAATTTGTTGAAAAAAGGAAAATAATTCAATTGCTCTATTTGTTGAAAACAATTTTAGCATTTTTTATTTCATTTCAATAAATAATATTGTTCATAAAACAAATGGATTGGACAACAGACAAGCCTATATAAGTCCTCTCAAATAGGTGCCATTTATTATTCATTCCAAACTGGTGAATCTCAATACGAATAAGGACAATATGTGGATGTGTAAGTGTGCTTATTGCGCAAAATGTTCATTAGTTATTGAACTAAGAAAATTCAAGTTTCAAGACAGCATAGCTTTGTTGTAGACTATACAATTTTCAAAAATAGATAATACGGCATACACTAACCTACATGTTGAATTTACACATATTTTTATTCCATTTTCAAGCTTTTGATTTGATTTTAGCAAATGTTGTACCTCCATATCCAGTGCAAGTTTTATTTTTCTAGGTTTACACTCCCCATGAAGAATTTGTTCAATGAGAATGTCCGTATTGAGCCATTAGGAATTGTCTTGCATTTGAATGAAATTCTAGGGAATGATGCAATAATTATATCATCTCCGACATTTATATTTGCATTTCTAAATACTAAAAATGTTTCGTTTAATACTCACGGTTAAAATCCAAATTTGTCCTATTTCTTCCTACACAGTGAAAAATAAAGATAACTTGTATTTTCATTTACGTCGACTTATAATAATACACGCTTACAATTGACTGAAGCTAAATTTTCCTTCTTTTTATAATTTTTAATACGCTGAGGACATAGTTTCCTAACGGTGGTTGACTTTAGCTGTTTTATGACATGTGTCAAAATGAAATCGATTATAATACATATTAGTATTTTTGTCGATACTTATATGAAATTTCATTATTTCCTTCTCCGGTTTCGATTGATTACTTGATTTTGCCAATCAACAAATGTGTGAGCTAAATACACAATCGTCGTTTATTGTTAACCAATCAGTTTAAAACGTTGATCACATCAAAAGGGTAATCAAACTTGATTAAATATGGAGTTGTGATCATTGTGTGAAATAAATAGTTCGCTGTATTTTATAAGTATAAGTAAAAATAATACAACTAAATCTGACAATAATGATTTCATCAATTAAATCTCATCAGTCATGCTGTAGGCCGAAATTAATAAGTCTCAACAAAAAGTCTATAGCAAAACGACGTATCTGAACAGCTATACTAATCAAACAAAATTTGCAGCGTGCTTAATCTGGTAGTAAATATTATATTATTATTAAACGTAAAAATAATACAACAGTTACTGTATCTGTCATTAACGATGTGATTAATTAAATCTCATCAGTGATGCTGTAGGCTGAAATGATCCAGTCTAAAAGATCAATATAATAGCAAAAACACATATCGAATCAACCGGAAGAACAAGTCAAAAGTTGCAGCGTGCTGAATCAATAACAACACCATAATTCTCCTCAATCAACTTCGCAAATACCTTTCTCGAAATGTGCTGTCCTTATATACAACTTATTAAACACTGATGGTCTTAGATAATATAAAACCCCTTTGTCCTGAGATGCAGTTTTTGTTTTATTTCGTTGTCTTTCGATATAGCTAATAGAACTAAGCTGTCGTTATAAACAACTTACAACCCGTGTTTTCCCTTATAAATACACCTTACATATTGTGTTGTACTTATACACCACTTATAAACTGTGTTGTATTTATATGCTACTTATAAACTGTGTTGTACTTATATACCACTTATAAACTGTGTTGTACTTATATACCACTTCTAAAACTGTATTTCCTTTAGATTCAGCTTTTTAATATTTATAACAATAACTCATTGTATGTTTTTACCTTCGTAATATAACAGATAATGGCATAAAACCATCACTGTCAGTCTAATAACAAATTAATTTCAAATTTCAAAAATGTGATATGCTATAATGTTGTGAATTTAATTAGGAATGTTTGACAGGCATTTGGACAAGTTTCATTTTGTTCAGCTATCGCTAGAACAACATGTTCAATGCTATTTTGAAGCATTCAGATATACGGAGAATCGTTTGTATAACGATGCGATTAAAACAATGAACCTTATCCGATATGTTTTCTTCAGTATTCACTTTTGGATGTTCTGTCTTTTCATTGTGATTATAGTTATTATTCATGACATAGACTAAACAAGAAAGGATTTTTATGATAAACGTAATATTTCTATTTTTAAATATGACTTATGTTCAATGCTGTCGGAGTGGATATATAATGTTAAAAACACCACCATGTGTACTGAACTCTTAATTTTTACTGGAATTGGAGATATCAGTCTCACAGATTGCTTGATTGGTTATGAATGAATAACAAAGATTATGGACCCAATAATCGTTGTTTATTAAATTGATGAATGAACAAAATATCTTCATGTAACATATTAAACAATACGTCACATATTAGATAGGAATAACCAAAATGTAGCTCCTATGAAACGTCTTACATTTTTCATGACAAAAATGAAAATGCATTGCATATTGTTGCAAAATGTGGCGCATAGAAAAATACCACAAGGTTAAAATATTGTTCTGAAAAACTGAAAATGTCCCACGCATTAACAGTATGATTGTATGCAGCTTATAAGAAACAAGAGTCTTCATTTAACGTCGCATGTGTATTCACTAAGGCAGCTATTTCTAAGACAAACACGGGTATGATAACAAGTTAATGATTTAATTACAAGTTGATTCATCAGTCAGTGTGATAACATATAGGATATGATAAAAACAAAGAGACCCTGATAAGGTATGCATTTCATTCACGTTTTACTTGAGACAAGAGATTAAATACTTCATATAAGTAAAACACTGTGTCAATATGTATATAAAACGTAAGCTTGTTATGAATATTTGTCTGCTAATCTGTTCAGAAAAATAGAAGTATAACCCTGCACAGAATGCAGTTATAGTTTGATTAAATATTTACCAGAGTCAAAGCAAAAGGACAGAAAAGCACTTCAAATTAAAAATGAAAAAACAACAACAAACAAAACACATTGTGAATGCACACAACAATCACCGTCTCCAGGTGTTCAGGAAGGGTAAGCGGTTCCTATCACACATGTAGCCCTCTTCATTATGGATCACGTAATTCCAGGAAAGGATAAAACAGCAAACAATTGAAGACACTGTTAAAATTAAAGTCTTTTATAAAAGCGACACAGAAACATCAGTGTTAAAAATCAGATGAAGATGACTGCGGTATAAATTTTCATTGTAGATGTAAGTCTAGTACATAAGTAAATAGAAAGGTAATGTTTACCTTGAACATATCGTCTTCACAATTGTATGCTCTGCTCGATTGCAGCAGTATACCAATTACACTTAAGCGTTAACATCTGACATTATATAGGATAAGCTGACTTTGTCTGAGTCGTTGTAAAATCCAACAGGAAAAATATACTTGGTACATGTGTATCATTCAGTTGTATTCAAACTTCAAATTTCTTATATCAAACTGAAAATAGTGTGAATCAGAAATGCAACGCTTAAACAATCGTATGATCATTTTGGATTGCCGGTAAGGTCTGCTAAAGGAAAGGAACCAAGCACAGGAGTGTTCTCAGTTCAAAATATTGCTTCACAATTGCAAGGTTTTTGCTCAATATCTTTTTCCCTTAAACGATTGGCTATGAACCTTTTGTACATTAAAACCACAATAACCACTGACCTGAATGGTAACAGTATAGAAAACAAAAACTCGGATACAGATATAAATCATGAATAACTCACTGACCTGTATCGAGGCCTCCTCTCGTCGCTAATTTGGCGTACACTTACCTACAACATACAACAGACATTGGACACGTGATAACAAGTCTATATCATTGATTTATACACGCGGAATTTTATATTAAATCACTTGTTTTGCGGAGTCATCGTAATCTCTACGTAGCATGTATGACAGTGGGATGATGTCATGTTTCAATATGCTGGTTACAATGTATAGCATTGTTACAATATAGTACCTCAATTCTAGTCTAGTCAATTAAAATACTGTTCCTGCTCTTGTATTGCTCAATAGAATTTAAAGCGATATGCAGTATGTATTGAAAACATAACAATCAACAAAGTAGCTTTATAAATATAAATACGGCTTTGTTTACAAAATAAGGTGTAAAAGGGCTTGCTTAAGCTACAGGCATGTTTGTTAAAAACAAATAAAAAATATCGTGAATAAAATGTAAATAACGGTTAATGCAATGAATAAAAAAATTCAAATGTATTCAATAATGCATACGTTGATAATGACCAATCAGTGCTGACTGACTAGTTAAAAACGTGTTACCTTTAAACATTGCAAGTACCATACTTTGAAACTGTACCTGAATTATATGTGAATCATGCTATACTGTTCCTAACCTGATACGAGAAACACGCTATACTGTACCTAACTTGTTAGGAGAAACTCGCTATACTGTACCTAACTTGTTAGGAAAAACACGTTATACTGTACCTAACTTGTTAGGAGAAACAAACTATAATGTACCTAATCTGATATCAAAGACTCG